ATGACTGCTACACAAAACAGCTGAAGGTTTCTTAGCTTCACAGTCAGTAATCAGAAAGTAAGGAGCCAAATCCAGTTCTCTACCACTACACCAATTATATTATCAATATACTGCTGAAATGGCTGCTCACAGTAAGCACTTATATTACAAATGAATTTAATTATTTAAGATTATGTAAGATTTGGTATTTGTTGTGATTTGGCACCCCCAGTTGCAATACCACTGTGGTAAATATGGATAGCTGTACACATGCACTTGTTATAATTACATTACTTATAATCAAAAACTAGCGAGTCGACAAGTTCGCCAACACAGCAAAACATCAAGCAAGTGCAACAACACAGGGTATAGTAAGCCAGCTAATGTTACTGACTAGTCGAACAGTGAGAACTCTTGTGTCTTGTTTCAATTTAAAAAGTCTGTTTTTCCTCCAGTTTTGATTGTCTGTCCTGCCCTATTGTTTTCACCTATCTCTCATTATCCTTCCCCTCACCTGTGTCTTTAGTCTTTGTGTTCTCTTGTTTGTTTCTGTCAGTTAGGGCCTATAGATGTCTAATCGGGTTGGTGTGCAGAAGCCTTTAGTAAACACAGGATTGTTAGTAGAACATAGGCTGTTTTTGTGTTTGTATTTTGTTTTTTCTATTTATTTTATAGATTTTTTTAATAGACTGCTGTAAACTTAAATAGATCCTGTTGTACATACTCTGATACAGTAGGTGACAGTATGCATGTTAAATTTGAGATTGCAAGCCACCAGATAAGTCAAAGAAGGAGTTTCTGTCTCAGTTCATCCTGGTTTCTTTGTTAGCAAATGCTTAACTCGAGAAACTAAACTAAATTTTTTTTTAAACAAAAACAAAAGCAAGAATGTGTAATTGAGAGAACAAAAACTGTTTTTTGTGTGGTGTGTGTGCATGTGTATATGAATTGCAAATCAACACAAATAATGATGATGTCATTAATAATAGAATAAATAACAACATAACATAACATTTAACAAATAAGACATATATCAATAACAGTATAGAAAATAGAATTATTTTTGTTTTGTTTTTCAGTGTTCTCTTCATGCTGTCTGGAATCAGATATTTTTTTATTTTTCATTTTGTTGCCTACACATAGCTTCGCTAGACAAAATTTGTAATTAAAAATGCATATTTTTATCATGGTATCAAGGTAGGACTTACACAGAGTAAACCTGGCCTATTGGTCATGTCCACACTGCAAGGCTTGGGTTTCAGTTCTGATCTATTGCTCAGAAATGAGATGCACGACAAACATTGATCTACAGTGACATAAAAGTTGCATGAATTCTGATGTGACTGGTGGTCACATTGGAAAAAATCAGACCTATATCTGATTTGTACCACATATGTGACTGCAGAGCTGGGCCTCTTTTAACTGCAGTGTGAACAGAACCAACAATCTTTTGCGCCTGGCAGGTGGAAACCAGATAAATCAGTGTCCTATGGGGAACTGCCTATGTGATGACATGAGGTTACAGCAATTTTTAACCAGTCATTGTGGGTATGAAATGAATCATGATTCTATGACTGCATGGCCTTTCCCCACCTTATCTTGCAGCTACTGAAAGCTAGAAATAGCCTTTAGTGCAACTTTAAATATTCAGAAATCAGCTTGTGTGTTTAGAAGTGTAGAATGTAAATTCATCACAATTTCCTTAAACACTCAAATTCCCTGAAAAAAATGCAGAGGACATGACCTCAATGTCCTTAATGTGGCACAAAGAGGAAAAATTAGGAGACTATAGGAATCTCCCTCTCCTTGGAATTACACCTATATTCCTTCATATAGATCAATTCAATACCTGACCTTATGTCCAGTGCCAATGCAGGAAGTAGTGTGTCCTTTGTGTAACAAGGAGGAGAGGAAGGGTGTGGGGGTGGTGGATGGATGTGCAGCACATCTGACTTTGATGCTGGGGACTAAAATTTGAGTCTCACCACACACATGGAAGTATGTAACCAAATCTTTCCCTGAAATCAGTGTTTCTACTTGTTCCTAGAATGTGAGGTTTAAATGCTGTATGTGTAGAATTTTACACTAGAAGGATGTTTTCA